ACATGTGTGCTGTGTGTGACTATTCGAGGCTAAAGCCTCTGATTAATTCTTATGGCCAAGCTTTTGCCGGCGAAACGTCTGAAAATGTACCAAGTCCATGGTCTGATGCTGAGAATTATGATAACTACTATGGTAGAGGACTTCGGACAAGGTGCTTTCTACCAAGTTTCTCTGACAACAAGACCAAGTTGCGACAATGACGTCAACCCACTTCCATAAACCGAGTGGAGACTGCGACCATAGCGGGGGCCACACCATCTTGGTCTTCATATCTTCGATTAAACCAAACCAAACCAAATCAAGCCAGCTTAAAACAAACTATGCTACTTCAAATCATACCTTATAATTATAAGCGAAAGCAATCAATTCAAACCATACTAAATCAAACCAAACCAAACTAAACCAACCCAGCTTAAAACCACTATACCACGCCAAATCAGACCAAACTATTCCAAATCAAACCAAACGAAGGCAAGCCAATCAAAGCTAAAGTAAGCCAAGAGGAAAATAAAAATAAAAATAAAAAAACGAAAAAGATGCAAACCAAACCAAGCTACATTAAACCCCTATTTTATTTGTAATGGCTATGGCGGCGCCCAATCTGCCTGCCCGACATGCTGACCGTTCTCGGCTGGCCAGCCTTCATCACCGAACCGCCACATGCATTGCTCAGTCGTGTTTTGGCAGTCAACACACTGCGCATATATTCTCAATCAGCCAATCAGACGGCCGTTCAGGTCCAACCCAAGCAGGCATGCCGGCACGACCAGACAGACTGGGCTAGTCTAATCGATAGTCAAGCCAAAATGAGAAATAGGTCGCTGATCTGAATTGGTCTTTCGGTTTGTCGACTGTCCACTGTCGACTGTCTAGCCGTGCTGCGTTAGACGTTTCTGTCTGTGTCGCGCCACCTACGCCGACTTGCCTCGTTTGTTCAAGGCCGATGAACTGCCCGAAGGAGAGCTGCTTTTCGCTACTTGCGGTCTCGGGTCGAGGAGGCTCTGCTTCACTCGTCTGCCTCTGCCAGACTCTTCCAACAACGAGCCCTTGTTTTCACATGTTATGGGGCGCCTTGCAGTTCAGGTGAAGCTAATGGACAAAATCAAAGGTCTCCCAACATGGCATGCCTTTTCAGACTTTTTTCGCTATTCCATTCTTGGGAAGATAAATTAGACGGCATTCAAGCCACAGTACTTGCAAGCCCGTCCTTCTTGACCCCCCAGAATTCATTCTAGCTCTCCAGCAAATCTTCAAACACGCCTGAAGGTGGTTAAAAATGAAATCGACCCTAAGGAAGAGTTTGTAATAAAGTAGACCGACCAGTATACAATATTTTTAAGCGAACTGCAGTCTCTGTCAGTTGTTTGCAAGACTACTTATTCGCTTCGCTGCGGACTATCTGAAAACCAAGACGGTCTAGCCCTTGGTTTGGCCACACTATCCTTTCCTGTAGTTTTCGTGTCGGCTTCACGGAACGCATCGCGTTCTGCGCCTTTCTAGCAGCGGTCTTTCAAAATAGGCGAAGAAAGGATGAGTTGCGAGGAGTCTCTCGGTTTACAATAGTCGAGCTCACTTCCATTTCGAGTAAAAGTGTGTCGTGAAGCGATTCGAGGATAGATTCCACCGGAAGAGGAAAGCGAATTCCCCGTGGCTTCGCCGGATCATTTTTAATGATAAGGCAATTGTCTTCGATTCCGGTGAAAAGGCGCTAAGCTTTCGTCCTGACATGAAGGAGAACATCAGAACAGGGTATCGTTCTTACAACCAGATTTGAGTCAACTGGGCGAGAAAATTCACTACCTTATCCCTAAGTGCTGTATATATGTGCTAAATCTATGCATTTTTATGAGGCATAAAGAGATTTTGTTAGTTTAAGTGATTTGGAATTATAATTGCCTTGAGCTATGACTGCTGGCTTCCTAAGTATACACACATAGAAAGTCACAGCCACAAAAAAGCAGACACACGCACATGTTTATAGATTGGCTTATGTCTTGAACTTGCCAAATCAAAATGCTTAGATTTAGGGTAAATATATTTACATGACATCTAGGCATAAGACGGTGAGATTTCCCGACTCTTTAGTTTGAATATGGTTGTCCGTCATATGACATATGCTCCTCATTTCATTGGAATCGAAGTAGACAACTTCAGCAACAATGCTACAGTAAAGCCACCCGACAGCTGCTCAAGAGGAATCCGTGGTCTTCTGGTGGGATCGAACTCCGAATCTCTTAATCTCACATTTTCACTTGAACTGAAAGTTCCCTGATATATAGTTGTCGTCATTGCCATAGAGAAGCGCCCTCCTTAAAAATCGTCACCATTTAATCAGTCTTGGTCGCTTAGGGTGAAGTTGCAAGCGATAGTGGAGATGAAAACCTTTTGAAAGTAAGGCTAAATTTAAATTCAATAACATCGTGAAGCCTCACCAATTCGTTTCAGAAATACCACTACCAGTTTTTACATCACATTGAGCGACCTAGAATGACTAGGCTTCTCAGTCAAGATCTACTGTTGGTACCGAACCATACGCAGCACGAATACAATTTTCATGTCTGCTAGCTGTATGAAGTGGGAGTAACGGATGAGAAAATAAAGCTATGAGATAGGACAAAAACTAGAACAGGAAGGTAGAGAGATTATGCAATTTGTGAACTGAAATTTCGTCACGAGAGTTATATTTACTTATTGCTTTGACAAATTGTAGTTTGGCTCCAAGGCTGGCGTTAATCCATGACGCTGGCGACAGCAACACGGAAGAAATGTCTATGAACCTACCTATGCAAGTGTATGATGCTGGAAGAAGACCTTACAACAATGGCAATGTAGACGAGCAGACTACGCCATTCCAACTCGCCCTAGCAACACAATAAGTTGCCAAGATAAGGCCATACCAACCATGGGTGCACGTTAGCCGACAAAGGCTTTGGTCTAAAGATCGGAGGTGGCTGAACATATGATGAGCATATGAGACCAGTAGATTGGTCTAAAATCCAACGTTTTTTGTTAAATGATTCTTGTGTATTGCATGCACAATCCAAAGCCAAACGTTAGCATGACAGGACCATAGGCTAGTTTATTTACGTAATCGAGCAGCTGTGACCACATCCGTTCTCTTTTCATGAACTCACTTTCCTCATTGGCATGCATATAGACTAAGCATAAAATAGACAATCAAGGGATGAAATTAAGAAAAACTGGGTTTCGAAGACTCCAACTGTGTTCAATCAGGGGAACTCCTCCTTCGGCTTCCGGTAAGACGATTTTGCGAGGTCCTTCTAACCAAATTTTCTTAGAAATGGAAAGTCATGCCATAACAAAGCATGAAATGCCTCAATAAGATCGCAAAGTTTCTTCGTTTAGGATTTTAAGTGATTTTTTAATGCTGGCCATAATGGTGGTTTCTGATTCTGCCAATGCTTGTAAAATCACAGACACAAGATCAGCACCGATTCATCGGGACAGTGAACCGAGGACATCTTTGAGCAATCCAGCTGGCATCACTCCAAAGGAATCCTCCTTCAGTTTCCAGTGCGGGCACATTCAGAATCCCTTCAACCAGATTTTTTGTACATCAATTGGCCTTATTAGCGAGTTTTGCGTTTATAAGCAGGTTTTCAAAACTGCCAGCAGATCATATATATGAGATGTATTCACCCTATTTCGTGTAAGGTGAAAAGGGAACCGGTAGTTACTTTTTTTCCACAATGAAAAAGCGAGGCTATGTGAAATTCAATGGAAACATAGGGTCTACTCATGTCATTTTGGGAAAATTCAACTACCATTCATCTTATCATCCTAAATGAAATAGGGTGAATAAATTTCTCATTAGCAAGTGCCTTCTCCCAGAGTTGTGAGCTAGAAACGTCCCTTCTCTCAAACAGATGTTACTTTTTTCCAAAACCACTAGAAGTTTGTGATGGCAATTCGATTTCCCATTTTTTTTATATGCTAGTTAGACTCAGACAAAGCCGAAGCCTCAGCTCAATTCTAGATGAAAAAGACATAGGGTTGATGGTGAATGATGGCGATACAT